GTAAGTATCTCCGATTTGGAAAGAGTGGAGAAAAGGGAGTAGACGAGGGGAAAAGGGAGAGAGAAAAGAGGGAAGGACAGGGCAATGGGGAGGGGGAGTAGCGGGGAGAAGAAAGGAAGGGCGAGAAGAAAGAGAAAAGAAGAGGAGAATGGAATGGTCCGAAGAGGGGAGAAGAAAGGGTAGAAGAGGGTAAAGGAAAGCGAAGAGGGGAAAGGAAAAAGGAGAGAAGAGGGGAAAGGAAAAGGGGAAGAGGGGAAAGGAAAAGGGGGAGAAGAGGGGAGAGGAAATAGAGAAGAAGAGAGAAAAGGGGAAAGACGAGAGAGGAAAGAGGCAATAAGAGGAGAACGCAAAGGGGGGGAAAAGGGGCGAGAAAAAAATCTAGAAAAGATGGAAGAGGAAAAGCGGTAAGAAGAGAAAGTATGTAAAATATCAGTCCCACATTCCTATACATTGTGCAAAGCAAGCAACCCAGACACACACGCATAACAACAATATCCACGGCGAGAAACGAAGACAAAAGGATCAAATGATAAACCCAAAGAAGTAGACCAGGAAGGACGTCTCAGAAATTAAGAAAATCCTTCATGAGGAAACAGGTCAACGCGAGAGAAACATGGCACAGTTGTGTTCTACATCAGATTGTAGGTCATGGCAGAGAGGAATTATTATCATTATCATTATTGTTATTATTATTGTTATTATCATTATTATTGATAGTAGTAGTAGTAGAAGTGGTAGTAGTATTGTTTTGTTGTTGTTGTTGATGTTATTGTTGTTAGACATCTGGGTATATTATGTCTAAAAAGAAATGAGCTGATATTATTTGTCTGGTTTTCTTTTTAAGGGTCAGTCTTCCTGCATCTCACTTCTCTCTCTCTCTCTCTCTCTCTCTCCTCTCTCTCTCTCTCTCTCTCTCTCTCTCTCTCTCTCCCTCTCTCTCTCTCTCTCTCTCTCTCTCTCTCTCTCTCTCTCTCTCTCTCTCTCTCTCTCTTCAGTGATACAGGCATTATTATGTAATAATCATGCACAAACTTCATGAGGAGATTCTGATCATAGAAAGGATTTAGAATTCTAAACTAACTTGATGTTTAATACCATTTTGTTTCCAAAGATCAGAATCCAACACCAAAATGGTCTTGTATTGTACACTCAGTTAATACCATTCTGGATATGTTGGCTTGAAAAAAAAAAAAAAAAAAAAAAAAAAAAAAAAATCGTGAAGGCAGACTTTAGGCAACCATTCTTCTGGTTTATATTTTAATGACCTTTCCACACACCTGAGACTTTCGCTGGCCTCTGTGACTCAGATGAAGACACAGGATAAAAAAAATATATATTGCGTCACAAAAAAACGGTTGGCGATGACTCATGTTTGCTATTGTGATACACCGAGGAGAAATGGTTCTTTGCGTTCTCTCTCTCTCTCCTCCTCTCCTCTCTCTCTCTCTCTCTCTCTCTCTCTCTCTCTCTCTCTCTCTCTCTCTCTCTCTCTCCTCTCTCTCTCTCTCTCTCTCTCTCTCTCCTCTCTCTCTCTCGTTCCCATTTTCGCTTTTTCATTCAAATCGTAGTGACTCTCCATCTACATCCGCCTCTCTACTTCTGATTATCTCTATATATCTCCCCATCTCCATCTTCATATCCCTCTCTGTTTTGATTTCTCTTTTTATCTCTCCATCTCCACCTTATCTCTCCGCCTCGATCTTCTGTCCCTACCTCCATTTCCCTCTCCCTTTCTCCATTCCCATCTATCTCTCCATCCTCATAAATATATATCTGTCTCCATCTCTCTTTCTATTCCTTATCTGTCTCTCTTGTCTATCATGTTCGTATTCTATATTTCTTCATAAGTAAACCATTAATGTACATCCATATAGGCTCCTATATTTTTTAAGTGACTGCTTTCCCAAACAATATCAGACATCGGCAATTTTACATTATATTTGCAACCCCGTCTTGTATCCCAACAACAGCTCTGCTGTCATATTATCCCTGATATCTAAGACCTAATTTTTTCTGTTGTCATAGTGTCCCTAGTTTGCATTTTTTTTTCTTTTTCTTATTTTTAAACAGATACTAGCCATTGCTATGTCTGCAACTCTCCCCCGCCTCATTCACAAAGCCTGGAGTATTTGCTGACATGACTGCCAGCTCGTCTGGTTTGCCACAGCTGCTGAAGCTAGACGTGCAGGAGTCTTTAAGGAGGCGTCCTGTTGCTGTGCTCGAGAGAAACCTTTTGTTATCATTTCCTTTTAGCATTTGGCAAAACGTTTGTATGTCGTGACAATAGTTGTTTGTCGCTAATAAGGTTTATTTGATGTACTATGTCTTTTTTCGCAAATTTTCTTGTTTGTTCTTGGTAATTCGTGATGCGGCTCTATGCTGATTCGGTCTGAGGTTGAAGGCAGTTGTTGTCTCATTGTATTTTTTTCTTTTTTTTTTTGCGTTTGGTGTTTCTCTTGCTTCCCGCTTCCTGTTGATGGTGGTAGTTGCCTCTGTTCTTTATTTCGTTGGCATTTTGGCGTTTCTTTCGCTTCCTACTTCCTGTTAGTGGTACGAACCGAAGAGGGAACGTGGTGGGCGTGTTCAGTGAAATGGAACAAGTCGTGGAGGACCAGCTGGCGGCCAACCAACCAGCTCATCTGTGAATTCCCAACCCAACACCCGAGAAAGATCTTGTTTTGGTGGATAGTTTATGAACGGTAATAAGTTGTTATGAATTTGGTATTTCATTATTGGAGAACTATTCAAGACAATCATTTGAGGGAAAGGTCTTTTTGTATTAGTGTTACTGGCAATTTTAAGATGATTTGTTTTTTTTTTTTTTGAAAAATGATTTCAAATATGTATAGAAGGCAAAACTAAAGGGTTACAACTAGTTTTTTTTTTCAATGTGCAAGTTCTTCTTCGTATATAAACAACTTTAAATAACACTGAATTTCACTAGCATTGCAATCCCATCCGTATTGTACTGAATTAACACTGACTTAGATCACTGAATGCAAATAGTGTGATTATAGCTGGTTGATTACTTTATACGATGATAAAGAGAAAATCAGAGGCATTTTATTTAGACAATAATGGCAATAATAACTAAATTCATGACCAAATTCCCGTCCACAACATCTGGGACGAACAATGTTGCGAGTTAATTCCTACATTCTTCAACCACACAAAGGAGCGTTGTGGCGTGGTGTCGTTACCTGTGTTTTCATTTGTCTTTTATTACACAGGTATAAGTCGCATTCGATACGCTATTGGGAAGATAACAGTGATGTAAAAGGTAAAAGAAAGTGAGACGTCTTGTGTGGGTTGTTAATAACATATCAGTACGTAAAATCTGGACCAGGATGCACGGACGCGCACACACACACACACACATACACACACACACACACACACACACACACACACACACACACACGCCGCGCGCACACACACACACACACACGCACACACAACATACACACACACACACACACACACGGTTCTTGCCCTATTTCCTCTCCCTCACAACTTAATTCTTTTTCATTTTTTCCAACAACAATGCCCACTATGGCTAGGTTGTGTCCAAATCATATTGCCCAAGGTTTCCAGTCCATCCCCGCCTCTCAACTCTGCCGCTGTTCCGTTTTAGCGAATGAAAAGTTTTGATATTAGAAAGGTTTGAACTTAGAGAACGCTTGGCTGATTTGAATCTCAGCGGATTAAATTACTGTTTTCGATAGGAAGAAAGTTGCATCGTGGAAGACTGTGCTGTTTTTTTCTTGTGGATGAAAATACTGTTTTGATATTGGAAAGGTGTTTAGTCATTTAAAATTATGTTGATTTGTGCCATAAAGAACTAAAAAAATAATGTATGGAAGAAATGAGACTAAACAGACTGCTACCAAATCTATATCTATATTAAGCATTACCGATTCTATTTTTAGTGAATGAAAATGTTGTGTTTTGTTATTTGGAAGATGCTGAATCATAGAAAATGTGTTATAAAGAATTAAAAGTTTCATGTATGAGGAAACCGGAATACTAGAAAGTGTGCTATTGATTTTGCATTCATACAAAATAAAATTACGAATTCTGTTTCAGTGGATAAAAAAAAAAACTGTTTTGGTATTTGGAAAATGTTAAATAATAAAAATTGTATTAATTTGTATTATAAAGATTTTATTTAAATCACTTAAAAAAGACGTGAAACTAAAGAATTTGCATTTATAGAAAAAAAAGTTTCTAATTACGCTTCTAGTGGTGGAAATGTGTTTCGACAAGAGGAAGACGTGAAATTACAGAAACCAGTCATTCAGGATCGTTTGCTATATTCTGACGTATTTAGGTCTTCTTCAAGTCTGATTATTATTGTTGTTTGTTGGTTTTAAAGGGTTTCACAAGATAAATGGTTACTGATTATTAATCTGTAGTTTAAGAGCTTAATTAAACTATATAATAGCGAAATCAAAGTACCGTGTTGACATGCCTGGAGAAGAGAGAGAGGAGAGAGAGAGAGAGAGAGAGAGAGAGAGAGAGAGAGAGGGGTGAGGAGGGAAGGGGGTATATGAACTTTATTAAAAGCATAGAATTGAGGATTTGTAGAAAAAAAAAAAAATCCCATTATATCCAGAAGGATGTTGTTTGTTCCTTCAATCATGTTGAAACATGTGGAGTAATTTCTCACTTCCTCCAAAATGGTATACCGAGTATAGTGACGGACAAAAGCCTTTTAATGAAATGAAGCTTCGAATCTGTCTTCCTATTACGGTAGGAGGTACAGTGACGGACTAAAGACTTTTAATTAATGAATTGAAGTTGAATCTGTCTTCCTGTTACGGTTGGAAGTACAGTGACGGACAAATGTCTTTTAATGAAATGAACTGAAGCTTCGAATGAATCTCTCTTCCCCTATTCAAAAAGTATGGTATTAAGAGGGTGTTCGAAACGGAATTCGAAACAGGATTGACAAGAGTTTTGACCCTGACTGTCCCTAAGCAAGCCTGAGGAAACCTTTG